CTTTATCAACACCAAAAATATAGGTATGGTTCATACCTAAAACACTACAAGATACAATGGTTATACCTATACATCTAACTTAATTAACAGTATTTTCTTTGACACATGGGGTATTATTGTGAATATTATGTGCGGAAGTGTCAAAGGAGTCCCATATTTTTTATGATTATAGGGATCTATGTGCATATATATTAACTTGTAATCTTAATTAGGCTAGTAAAAAAGCTAAGAGAAGAAGGGGGCTCACGTGCACAACTAGACACTTAGGAGGTCAACATAGTTGATTTCCCCTTTATGCATGAGTTAAACACGATACTTTCGTGTTTTTGCTTTTTTATCACCATGTGTTCTTATAGGAAGGATTCATTGAATCTTGAAGAGTATCGTGTCTTGGGCATGATTGGAATTAGTTGTTTTTATTTTTCAATGCTTTTGCCAACATACTCTTTGTTATTTTATTTTTATGATATATGTGTATTGGAAGTCAAATGTGTGTATATGTTGAAAGAAGTCCCACATTAACTAGATAGGTCATAAGGATTTGCACACTTTCTACCTTAAGAATTTAGGTTGAAAGGTGTCTCAACTCATTCCCATGCTTACTTCAAGTTTAATATATCTTATTATTTAAAGCTCACTTATTCTTCAAAGAGTTGGACTCTTGTGTGGTATCACCTTTATGAGTAGAAAGAAATTGTTAGGAGTCGAGTTTGAGTTAATGTGAGAAGGCCCATAAGCTTAGTTTTTTTTAGGGTTTAGGTTAAAATAATATAGCGTCAACCTTTAAACTCAATGCTTTTACCTTATATTTGGTATGAGGGAATTGAAGGAGAAGGAAATGAGGGAATTAGAGGGGAAGGGAAGAGAGAAAAAATTTTAATGAGCTCAATTGAAAAAAATTAGGAAAGTAGGATTTATAAAATTTTAACTCTGCTTACGTTACATAACCAGTCCCAAGTCTGAGTAAAGGAGGAGGGCTATGTTAAGCCCTTAACGACCAACGTAAAATTCTATCATTAAATTGACATGGATCCATGAAGAAATTGTGCTACTACTAGGTCGTTGCTCAAAAGTAACACACTGTATGGCTTGAGTACAATGAGAAGTGAGCAAGAGACGCTACATCATTGTCCAAATGTAGTATTCAATGAGCAAAGCTACCGTACTCTTATAGACGAAGGTGGTTAAAAAAGTTAGTTTATGAAAGCAAGATCAGGTTTAGCACTTAGGACATTAGGACCCTATATAGTGAATCGAGGAAGGTAGTGGAAGTAATGGATAAATGGAAGATTAATATTTTATGCCTCTAAGAAACTAAATATATTGGAGAGAGAGCTTTTGAATTTACTAATAGATTCAAACCTTAGTACACAAGAAAGGTAGGTATAAGGAATGGAGTAGGTATTGATAATGAGTGGAAAAAGAATATGGTGGAAGTCAAAAGGATCAAAGATAGAATGATTTCTTTAAGAATAATCGTGGAGAGGAATACTATCAACGTGATTAGTGCTTATACACCTCAAGCCAGGGTAAAAGCACATCTTAAGGAGAAATTTTGGACAGATATGAAGGGATTGATTCAGAGCGTACCAATCATGAAAATGATTTTTATTGGCAGTGATCTTAATGGATAGTATGCAAGGGCTTACCATCTTATAATGAAGGACAAACTATTATTGATTTCTCCCTCCTGTACAACGTCAAGATTATTAACTCTTGCTTTAAGAAGTATGAGTAGCATTTAATCACATACAAGAACAGAACCTCCAGGTCGCAGATTGACTTCTTTTTTGTAAGGAGTCTTGATAGAAAGCTTTGTACAAACTTTAAAGTGATTCTTAAGGATGACGTGACAGCACAACATAGGGTCTTGATCCTTGATGTGCATATTAAGTGTATAAAACAAAAGAAATGTCAACCCCAAGGTTCAAGTGGTGGCAGTTAAAAAGGGAGAAGATAAAGACTTTCAAAAAGACTTTTTTAGAAGAAAGGGTTTGGAAGGTATAAGAAAATGCTAATCTTATATGGACAAAAAGGCTAAGAAGATTCAAAAGACTATTAAAATAATTTTGGGAGAATCAAAAGGTGATACACTTGTGCAATAATGCTGAAAATTAGAAAAGGTATCACTTGGCTAAAAAGGAGACTAGGATAGCAGTGGGTGAAACTCGTTTTAAAGCTTTTGAGAAGTTCTATAAGGATTTAGGAACTAAGGCTGGAAAACATAAGATTTACAAGATTGCAAATAATAAGAAAAGCAAAATGACAGATTTGAACCAAGTAAGATGTATAAAGGACAAAGAAGGTAGAGTTTTGGTTACTAATTGAGATGTTAAGGATCAATAGAAAGCCTACTTTTATAAGTTATTGAATGATGGGGGCAAAAAATTGACTTATGAGCTTGAAGATTTGACAATTAGAGAAAGGGAGCATAATTTAGCATTTTATAATTCGAGCTGGAGAAGTTAAAGAAGCTCTCAAGACAATGAAAAATAATAAAACAATTAAACCTGATGGTATTCCTATTAAAGTTTGGAAATGCTTGGGTGAAGGTGGTGTGCTATGGCTTACCAAGTTATTCAATGAGATATTATACTCCAAGAAAATTCCTAATAATTGGAGAAAAAGTACTTTAGTACATATTTACTAGAATAAAAGGGATATCTAGAATTGTGCTACCTATAGAGAGATTAAGCTCATAAGCCATACCATGAAATTGTGGAAGGTGATAGAACATAGGTTGAGATTAAAGACTTATATTTTTGAAAACCAATTTAGGTTCATGCTAGGAAAGTCAACAACAAAAGTGATTTATATACTAAGAGGGTTAATAAAAAAGTACCAAAGCCATAGAAGAGACTTGTATTTGATTTTTATTGATTTGGAAAAAACTTACAATTGTGTGCCAAGAGAAGTGCTTTGGAGAGCCTTGGAAAAAAAAAATGTGTCACTTATATCAAAGTCATATAAGATGTATGAGGGGGTCACAACCAGTATTAGAACACTGGGTAGTGAAACAAAAGACTTTCCTATAAGAATTGGCCTACGTTAAGGATCATCTTTGTGCCCTTATCCATTTAATCTAGTCCTCGATGTTTTAACTGAGCATGTCAAAGAAGAAATCCTTAAGCATATGCTTTTTGCTGATGATATGACTCTATTGGCTAAGTCAAAAGAAAAGATTTCTACTAAGCTTGAGACATAGAGAAGAACATTGGAGTCGAAGGGGTTTCGTTTTGCAAAACAGAATATATGTATTGCATTTTTCATAAGAGACAAGCTAAAACAAATTTAGAGGTTAGACTGGGAGACCAAGTCATTCTACAGGTGAAAAAGTTTAAATATTTGGGATCAATTATACAAAAAGATGGTAAAATTGATGGTGATATTAGTCATAGAATTTAAGCTGGGTAGTTTAAATGAAGAGTGACAGAGGTCATTTGTGATTGGAAAGTACCTAATAAGGTCAAAAGAAATTTTTATCGCACTACTATAAGACCAGCAATACTATATAATAGTGAGTGTTGGGCTTTAAAAGGACAACATGAACATAGAGTGACAGTAGCAAAGATTAGAATGCTAAGATGGATGTATAGTCATACAAGAAAAAATAGAATTCATAATGAACATATACACAAAAAAGTTGGATTGGCTGCTATTGATAAAAAAAAAATGGTAGAAAACCGTTTGAAATGGTTTGGTCACATACAAAGAAGGCCTTTCGATCTGCCAATGAGAAGAGTTTATCACATAGCATAGAGTACTCAAAAAAGGAGTAGAGGAAGGCAAAGAGAATACTTAATGAAGTCATTAAGTGAAATCTTCCAATTAATAATATATCCAAAGATTTAACTTTAGATATAACTCAATGATGTTATGCAATCCATGTAGCTGATTCTATCTAATGGGATAAGGCTTTGTTGTTGTTGTTGTAGGGTTTATAAAATTTTGATAAAAAGAAGATGTAAGATAAAAAAAAAGTAAGAAAATTGGTTTAAAACTTTTAATCCCATTTCTTCATTTTCTTAAATTGAGCTCGTTAAAATTTTCCTCCCCTCGTACCAAATGGACCTTGGGTTTAGGTCAAGATGTAGTGTCAATCTCATTAATATACTTGTTTCCAAAGTTCAATGCACGAAGATGCCTTGAAAGATCTCTCTAATGTTTGGTGCTCTCGTAGGACGCTCTAACTGTGTCCTTACTAATACTGTAGGGTTTCTTGATTGCACGTAGTACAAAGAAATTAATAGACCTGCAACTATGAGTTAAAATACACACACACACACACATCTATCAGTCTCACAGGATCAAATTTGGTTTGCATTTAATTCATTTCGTTAATTAATTGCATAATGCATTGAGTTAATTCAATTGCATACCAAGAGGTAGTTTAAAAGATGCTTTTGCACATGCATCCATCATTTATCTCAAGACATCTGAATTCCTTCTCACCCATTTTCTTACTTAGCCATTAACTTGGCCAAGTAACAAAGTTGAAAGACATAATAACATTCGTTTGAGGTCTAATTTAGGGAAAAATATTAGGTATGTGAACAGCCAAAATTTAAGCTTTTATCGTGGATGCTGTTAATTCACTAAGCGCACGCATGTTTTAAACTTGTTCGTAAGTTTAATATCATCACGTGAAAGCTACTATTTTTGTATGCTTAATGGTAAACTAAAGTATATTTGCGACTAAAATATCTTTATAGTAGAGTAAGAGCTTTGTCTCAGATCAAGTCTCCCATCCATATTTAAGATATTCCTATAATTTCTTAAGATCAACTTTGACAAAGTCAACAATTTGGAAATCATTCAAAGACATGAATCAGAAGTTATATATTAGTTTAGAAAGCTTAAAAGGGACAAAAGAAGCCACTTGCAATCTTGTCTTCCACTAGATAAAACATCGATTTGAGATGCACAGCGAAGATAGAAAACAAAATTAAAAAAATATATATATAAGAATAAATTAATAACGAATGGAAAGACATAATAACCTGCATATTTTGTTCTACAAATCTGGTGGCTGTTTGAGCATCTCTATTATGACAGCGATAACGTTCAACTGTTGCCTGCATGCTGTGAAATTGGAGCAATAATCAATATCAATCAACACATCATATAAGTTTATAGTATGCCACACTACTCACAAACTAAGATCAGTGGGGTTCATTCCTTTGACTCCAAGTAACACATGCAGAAATGCGTCTAGTTTGTTAGAATAAGATTATATATGCCAAAAAGCAATAAGTAAAAGGAGTTCTTATTGTTTTATATGCATGTATGTGTGTGTAGAGAGAGAGATTGATATCAATTATGATTACATTACAAGGTATAACCAAAAAAAAAAAACAAACAAACAAACAAAGCGCATTACGCTTGTACACATGAGAAGAAATTAAGGGCTATCAAAATAGTATAACATGTCATTGGAGTTCATCCAATCAACTATATTGTTGTCTTAAAAATGGACTATATTATGAAGAAACCTTTAACAAGAAGGGAAAGGGGTAATGGACTGAAGGAATGATTCACGGCAAGGAATGCATACCAGAATAATCGAGAGCCCGAACTCCCAAATCTTGACTAAGAAAATAAAGAACAATAAGAACTTTGGGACAAAAGGTATTGAAGCTCAGGTGATATGACTTCGGAGGGCAATTCTTTGCCTTACATGACACATGACACTGGTTGACATCCTATATGGCATTGTATGTGGCAATTATATTCCAAGTGGAGGTCCATGTGGCATTCAACTTCTAAGTAGTGCACACAAAGGAGGACAGGTAAAAAGATCCTATTCAAGCTGGCATCCAATTGAGCCATTTTATTTTTATTTTCTTTGTAATTTTGCTATTTGAAAGTGTTTTGGATATTTTAAATTATGCAAATGATCTTTGTTTTGGGCCTGAATGCAAATGATCTTTTGAATCTACCTATCAAATTGAGTTATTTGTTATTTATTTTGTTATGTATTTTCGTTTTCTTCTAGTTGGGTGTCCATTGTAATCAACTAACTCAGTTACTTTACCGTTTCATTTTAATAGGGTATTCAAAGAGTCTTACTTAAGTTAGGATTATCCCATATTGTATACTATTTTCAGATAATGAATGAAATTGAATTTTCTTTGCAAGTTGCTAACTTGTGTGTTTGTGGTCATGATTGAATGCAATTAGGCTTTATTAAGAGATTGATATCGTGTCCTAATTATACGGATGTCACCACAAGAGGAGATCAACGATTTATGAAGTATTTATTCATCTTTTTGACATATGCCCTTCGTAATTATAACCCTCTCTTTCTTACTTCGAAGAAGTACATTTTCACTTTCGGCTTTAATTTGCCATATTTTCCGTAACAAGTTTCGGTTAGGAATGGCTTTATATTATTTAATAGCCTAGTTATATTTCCCCCAAAGATGGCCCCAATTTTAATTTATCAGTCACGCAGCTCAATTATTTGAAAACACAAAGTTTTAGGCAAGGGGAACAACATAAGTAGAGAAGAAAAAAATGCAAACACATGTTGACGCCAATTAATTTTGAAGGATAAGAGATGGGGTAATCGATGGAGAGGACTAGAAACAAGATAGCATCAAAATAAGAAATCAATTTCAAAGAACAAGAGAAGATAGACAAAGGATAAGATTTATTTGAATAATGCTTATACTAATCCTACATAAATTAGCAGTTTGTTGACATATGAAAATTCGTACCATTGTGCCTATTTTCCATTAAACCTTATGGTTTATTGGGCTATGTTTGCATCACTCATTCATCAAATGTACGAAAATGTACTTTGCAAGTAAATAACGTAAATTGCTTGAGTAAATCCTTATTTTGCTCTTATATTGTAGGAGCTTTGCGGAGGTGAAATCAAGCTAAGGGTTCTGAAGAAAGGGTTTGGATCTTCGAAAGGCTTTTATTGGAAATTAATGAAATATTTTGTCGTGAATCAGATCATGAGTGGCTGAAACGTGTGTGTAAGGCTTTCTTCATATGTATGTGTTTGTTTCATTATTTGCTTGACTAAGTTTTGGTCAATGAATATTAATTAGGGATTAATTTTGGTTTCTTAGTTGAACTAATGATATGGAAAGTTTTGTTGGTACTTGAAGTTTGTAATCTTAAATGGGTAGTTTGGCTTGTAGGAAAATTAAGTTAGGAACCTCTTTGATATTGAGTATTTTCATGCATATCAAATAAGTTTAGCAACAATAGTTAGATTACGTCCAAGGTTCTAAGATAAAAAAACTGATATCTAATTTTAATGTAGGTTTATTCTACATTTTCTTTCACTCTGGTTGATTGTGTCATTTAAATTAAGCGTAAATATGAAATTTGACACTTCCCCAAGTTTTGGAATCAAATAGTTATGGAAACAATACTCGCATGGTATTACTTGTTGCGACCCATATATTTATTGAAATTACTGCGCACGTGCATGTAGTGTGTGTTTGTCATATTTTCGGCAACACAGTTCAACAGAAGATATTTGAGACATTGGATTTAAATAAAAATTGTATGAATAATACTTATCATACTCCTGGGTACATTGAGTGGGATTTTAAGAGAAGAAGTGAGAGTTTGCTATTACAAGAACTCTTAATGTAGGCTCTTGGCATCCAACCAGCAACTTAATAATAAATATTTCATCCATCTTCATCATCCAGAAAAGCACACATTCAATTAAGCAAACAAATCCACAATCACAAATTTAAATGAGTTGCCAAACGGGGAATGGTAGTTAGGTTATGGGGTAAGTGAGATTTTGGTTAATTTTCTAATATAATCCTTGAATGGTGGTTTGGAAAAAAATCAGTGCTAAAGCTAGAAAATAAATCTGAATAAAACAAGATACTGTGGATGAGGAGGATTAAGCTTAGGAAATGGTACGTGATTGTATGCTCCTCTCTCGCCAAATGAATTTTATAGCTTTTTAAGCTTTATTTTTGTTGAATAAATATGTTTTAATTTTCTCCTTCTTTCTTTCATTAGCCCCTACTTAGTATGTATTAATTTCCCGATTGCATTGTAGAGTTTAGTTGGTTCTTGGGGAGCCGACTTTGATTGTACATATACTGCAAAAATCAATTTTTAACTCTAATAATCCTTGGCAGTTCAGTAGTCATGATCAAGAAGTATAATCTAAACTAAAAGAGGATCATGCTTAGCTTAAACCAGAGAAATATCATGTTAATAGTACAATGACAGTGATAAGTTTATAGTTTAATAATACTACCTTTGATCATAAATATAAAATCTAGTTTTTAGTACAATCAGAGTATTATTCATAAAATCAATCATTACAAACTAGATTTTATATTTAGTACTGGAGGTAGTAATATCAAACAAACTAACACAGTGACAAGATGTTAAGTCAAATTAAGGATAATTCTAGTGCAAGAAATATGGCTAGGTGGTTAGAAAAAATAAACTCCATGAGAAAATCAAATAAAGAATCCAAACATTAGCTAACCAATAAGGTGAACCTTGATCCCCGTTTTATATTTTCTAATTAGTTGCAGTTGACCGCAATTAATTAGTTTAAATTTAATTTAACTTAGTCATTACTTGTTAATCATATTTACATTCCAAGTGTTTTGGGTATGATCACAACCAAGTAAAGTAGGGATCATGCATGGTGGTGATCATCAAGGTCTTGGATAGTTGTGACCTGTGAGAAGAGGGTTTGAATTCATAACTTTTCATTTAGAATTGCATGCGTGAAAGGTTTTGCAACTTTAATTTCCATTCAAACTTGTATTATTTGTGTTTGGATTATTTTGTACGTACTATTTGTACTTGGGCTTGGGAAAAACGGAGGATTGGTCGTGAGTTTAGAAGTTTGAGGATAAAGTAATTTTTGCTTTCGTCACAAAGTTTGATGTTCCAAATAACTTCAATTGACTACTATGTGTAGAATTATGTATTTTTACAATATCAAAGTATGCAGCCAACATTGGAATGAGAAAAGCCTGTGTAATCTTGCTGAATTTAAAACACCAGTGATCTTATCACATACTACATATTACCTCATAGACCATCACAATCTCCTCTTTCATTGTGTTATACACACACACACGCGTATGATATTAGTGACAGGCATTTGTATTAATTTAAAGTGAATAATAGACAATAAGCTATTCAAATTTAAAAATTAAAATTATAAATTGAACTCTCTTTTTTCTTCCGTAACTTAATATGAGAACTGATGAAGTATAAAAACAATATATCTCCCGGCTCTTATCATACTTCAATGTGTGGTTAATTCTATATCCAAACAAACAATACGGGTTTGAAGAAAAGTAAAGTAAAAACACAAGAGAACTGATGAAGAAGATGATGAATATACATACCTAGAGCTTGCAAATTCATACAACTTGCCTCTTGGGGAGAAGATTATGAGAGCAACGTCAGCATCACACAGAACTGAGAGCTCAAAAGCTTTCTTTAAAAGTCCATTACGTCTCTTTGAGAATGTCACTTGCCTGCTCGTCGCGTTCTCTATACGCTTCATCTGTGTCTTCCCTCTCACCATCCTTTCAGTTTCTGCAAATCCAAAGCTTTTCAACAAGCCAGACTTTCAAGACCCAGAAAGATGCAGATAAAGATTGAAGAATAAGGGAACAGGTTAGATTAATTAGTATCATCACATACCCCAAAAGGGATAGGATTGAAAAGTTTAACAAATCTAATTAGAGATCAGTTAAGATATAAGTTCAAATGAATGCAAAATAGATCCGATTCCCCTTAATTAATTAGTTTACCAGCTGGGAAATTGGATGTTATTCCTCAAAATTTGGATGGAAACCAGAAGGGCGAGTTGAGGGAAGGAAGGTTTTCTGCCAGAAAGGGAGAAAAGGCCAGAAATGTTGAGAGTTCACACGGGAGAACGAGAATAAACATATAAGTTTATAAAAAGAAAGGAAAGAAAAAGGGAAGATTGAAAGCGAAGAAAGAATCTGAAGAGAAACAAAATAAAGACCCAAAAGAGACGAAGCAAGCGGCAGTTAAAGAGAGAAACGCACCTTCCTTTATTAATATATCACCTCATTGAAAGAGGGAACTGAAACCTCTTGCTTTGCCTGATCTGGAAAAACTTCAGGCCACACGCACTAAAAGGAAAATATCGAATCATAATACTATTTCATAAATGGGGAGAAAACATGAAAACGACAGAGACAGACCCACCCACTTGCTAGTTTTATGGTTGAAAAGACTAGACCCGGGAAAAGAAAGTGAGGCAGTAAGAGGATAAAACAAAAACAAAGGAGATCAGAGCTATTGGGTTGTGAGTGTTAGGTCCCTGCGAAGTTAAAATATGGAAAAAGAAGTACAACGTTAGCAAAATGTCCCATTCATTCGTACAATAACGTCATGGTTCAGCCAATCACAAGTCGAAAACGCATTACTCTTGTATCAGAGCTTTATGGCCATTGGCCAGTGCTTCTTTCACTTTTTCCCCCTCTTTAAGATTTTTTTTTTGCTTAAAAAAATTTCATGAACTTATATAGTCTTGCAAATTTTTCATACTCTATAAGATACTTTTTCTTTTTAAATCTTTGGTAGAAAGTCCCTACCCCTTCTAATGTTAATATTAGTTTTATTTTAGTTGGCATGAGTTTTTTATCTGAAGGCGTGCTATGTCTGACCTTAGCTACTAAAAAAATGTAACATTATTTTTTTGATAAATTTATTTTGATCGCTAGTAGGCTTAGAAAATTAAATATAAAACCTCATAAACTTGTAAATAAATTTTCTGTAAAAACTTAATACAAATGAAGTTTTTAAAATGGGAAAATGACATTGAGGTCCCACAGAAGCAAAAATACAGCAAAAAGGTCCCCTGAAATCCCATAATTTTTCTGAAGTCCCAAAGGGACTTAGATGCAATTTTCAGAATCTGGAAATTACCCTCTTGCCCTGGACCTGTTATCAGAAAAAGAGACGGGAGAAGTTCATTTGGTGAGGATTTCCTGCGCAAAATTATCATGGTGAAGCTTCTGTAAATGCGAGGATTTCCATGGGTGAAGAAGATGTTGAAACTTGACAAATCTTCAGGTGTGGAACTTTCTTTTCTCTCCTCTCCTACCCTTCTTGACAGATTGTGCATTTATTTGGGAATGGGAAATGAAAAAATCGTTTTTGCCTTTGGTATTTCTAAGCTTTTGTTTTTGGTTTAGGATTCAGAAGTTAATGAATGGAAAAGCTGTGTTTTTGGTTGGTGTGTGTTGTGATTTAAGTTGGGTGTGTAGAATGATAATGGGTGCTCTGTTTTTGGGTTGTTTTTGGGTGGTTTTCCTCTGTTCTGACGTTAGTTTAGTGGCAAAGGAAGAAAAAGATGAAGGTTAGTGAGGATAGAAACCCTTAGCACGAAATGGGACTGTGTTGTCAATCAGGCCGCGATTGTTGTCAATGTGTGCCGCTATACTTGTCAATGTAGCTCCTTAAGTTGTCAATGACAGTTGCGTGCTTCTTGATGCAGGTTTAAGTTACTGATGGTATTTCAAAGCTTTTGTTTTTGGTTTAGGATTCAGAAGTTAATAAATGGAAAAGCTGTGTTTTTGGTTGGTGTCTGTTGTGATTTAAGTTGGGTGTGTAGAATGATAATGGGTGCTCTGTTTTTGGGTTGTTTTTGGGTGGTTTTCCTCTGTTCTGACGTTAGTTTAGTGGCAAAGGAAGAAAAAGATGAAGGTTAGTGAGGATAGAAACCCTTAGCACGAAATGGGATTGTGTTGTCAATCAGGCCGCGATTGTTGTCAATGTGTGCCGCTACACTTGTCAATGTAGCTCCTTAAGTTGTCAATGACAGTTGCGTGATTCTTGATGCAGGTTTAAGTTACTGATGGCAAGTGCGTCTGGAAAACATCTATTTTGCTTTGTTCACATAAGGGAAAAGTTTATAAATGATGGAGAAGATACTATGAGATATGTGGGAGGTAGTGTAAGAACAACCAATGTAAAGGAGGGCACAAGTTATGAAGAATTGAAGGAAATTATATCATCAATTGCTGGAAAAGAAAGCAACTCATTTCTTCTGAAATTCTCAGTTGTGCAACCCCTGTGTTTTTTTGGGATGGGTTGTGAAATAGGTATAATTTCATGTATATGAAGGTGTAAATGAAAGTTGACTATGAATTGGCATGTTAGATTCTGCTGTCATTTAAGTTGTCATACCTGCACCCTGTATTGTCATTAGACCTGTTATGACTTATCAATAGAGCACTGTCACTTGTCAATTAATTTGCTGATGTAAGTTGTCAACAATATAAATTCAAGTTACATAACTTGTTTTAGTAACATATGATATTTTCAATCACTCTGTCATATTATATTTTTGGTTATTTGTCATATATAATCATTATTAATGAAGTGTCAATGGTGGCACTGTGACTTGTCAATGGTGGCATAGTGACTTGTCAATCATGTCCTTAAGACTTGTTAATGACGGTGCTGTGACTTGTCAATGGTGGCACTGTGACTTGTCGTTGGTAGCACTATGACTTGCCAATGGTGGCACACTGACTTGTCGTTGGTGGCACTATGACTTGTCAATAGTGGCATACGGACTTGTCATTGGTGGCAAAATGACTTGTCAATCGTCGCACCATGACTTATCAATAGTGGCACTGTAACTTGCCAATGGATCACTATGACTTGTCACTGGTAGCACTGTGACTTGCCAATAGAACAGAGTGACTTGTTAATTGAACATAACTCTGAGTAACGCCTTCTGATTAATTATATTTTAATATAAATATTATTTAACATTACAAATAAATAACACCTTTAGTTGTAAAAATTTTGAATATCAATTGTTAATATCCACATATTCATTTGTTATATCACTTGTCATTAACTCATGTTATATTACTTATTAATATTATATAAATTTGTCGATATCAATAAAAATATAAAACAACAAAAATAAAAATGTGAGTTGTCCCCAAGAAATTGGTATCATAACATCTGATAACAAAGATAATAATATTATAAACATAATTTGATCAGTTTGTTACAAAAGGACCTATTGACCATTAAGCTATTGCCACTCATGGCTCACACCCTTAGGTGCCAATCATCTCATAACACATCCTGGCATAACAGAACAAAAAATTAATGGACTCCTCTATCTCCTCCTCTTGCTCTTGTTGAAGTCCGATAGTATTGACATCACTTCATCCCTATGTTCATTTTGTGGATGGGTAACCAACCACCACAAACAACCAACCTTCAACTCTTGCAATTCATCATTGGAGTATCGTGGCATGGTATATCCTGCAGCATCACGAACAGTGCCATCCCACTCTTGTAGCCAAAAGAGGACATGAACTTCACATGAATCACTGCCAAGCAAATTCAATATGTAAGCAGCATGCAATTTTTATTGTGAACAAACATAACATAACACAATCAAATAGAACAACTACACTCACGTATCATTCTGCACATAAACTTTAGCCCATTTCACTTCGTTATCAATTTTGTCCTCATTGGCAAACAACTCTGGCTGAACAGCACGCAACATCGTATGGAAACAGTTCATCTGCAAAAAAAAAACACATAATCAAAAGGTTTTACTAACAACACAGCATCCAGTGACAAGGGATAGAGCATATTGTGACAAGTAACACAGCATCCAGTGACAAGGGACAGAGCATCCAGTAACAAAAAACTGCATCCACTAACAACTAACAGAGCATCCACTGAGAAATGACAGAGCATCCAGTGTGAAGTAACAGCATCCAGTGACAAGTAACAGAGTATGTAGTGACAACTAACAGAGCATGCAGTGACAACTAATACAGCATGTAGTGACAACTAACACAGCATCTAGTCAACTAAGCATCCACTGACAACTAACAGAGCATGTGATGACAACTAACACAGCATCCAGTGACAACTAACAGGGCACGTGATAACAACTAACAGAGCATGCAGTGACAACTACGCAGGCTGCTAGTGACAACTATAAGAGTAGTCATTGACGAGTATAACAGCAGCAAATAAATACACACAGTCTGTGTTGCCATAAAGTGTTTGGGATTGAAGTGCCCTTTATTCGTCCTCTTTTTCAGACGCAATCATCAACATGGAAATAGAAATCCCCACAAAAGAATATAGTAACCACTACAGAGCATACAATCTTCACAAATACTTTGAACTCCAAGCAAGGCATATCAACTATTCAGCCTCATTTTTGTAACTTTAACAATCCACCGTGGTGCTCAAAATCCACTCAGTGTGCCACCATTGGCAAGTCACAGTGCCACCATTGACAAGTCACATTGCCACCAATGACAAGTCCGTGTGCCACCATTGACAAGTCACATTGCCACCAATGACAAGTCCGTGTGTCACGATTGACAAGTCATAGTGTCACCAACGACAAGTCAGTATGCTACTATTGGCAAGTCATAGTGCCACCAACGACAAGTCACAGTGCCACCAACAATAAGTCACAGTGCCACCATTGACAAGTCACAACGCCGCCATTAACAAGTCTTAAGGACATGATTGACAAGTCACAGTGCCACCATTG